ATAACAGCATCACTTTTCTCACTTTGTTTTTCTTTACACAGGCACACAAGTTTAAGAATCATTCTTCATTTTCAGAGAAAAGAGCAAAGTAATTGGATAAATCCCAAAGTACTCCCCACTTCAAGCTCCCCTGTGCCGTTTGACCCATCTTAGGGCAAAGTGTAGGCGACCACAGACTCGGCCTTTTGGGGCAGCGAGTGCTATCGGTGGGGAAGCCATGGCGCGTCCATTTGCAGCATTCTGCTGGTCTAGCTGCTGCAGTTCTCATTCTGGATGCTGAGAAAAATCTGTGAGTTCAAGACAAGTTTGGATAACAAGGGGAGCAAGGAAATCGATTGGGGGTGGGGCGGGGGGACGACCAGTCAGTGTGATGAATAGGCTGGTCCAGAGCAGCGGGTGACAGATATGCAGATGCAAGACTGGCAGGGAAGGAAGATGGTCCGTGCACAACAGATGGATGGAGATGCTCAATCATCCTCAGGAACAAGCACACGGCTGCCACACAGCCCTGTCTGCTCCAGCCCTAGCTCCTTACACACCTGCAGGGTGCAGTCCCCACTCCCAGAAGCTCTGTGTGTGGGGCCCACACAGGGTAGGGTCCAGGGTAGGAAGAGCAGTACATGGAGAAAGATGCCACCCTACTGCAAGGTAGACTTGGGGGCCAACTGCTAGTGGTCTTTTCTGACTTTGCCCTCTTCTTCCAGCTTCCAAAGATAGACCCATTTTGTCTCTTTCAAAGGCTCATATTCCTGAGGATGGCTTTTACTGCTAATGTGATCTGTTTGCTAAGGACTGAGCAGCCACTTATGGGAAGTATAGTGTAAATCCAGACAATCCTAGGCAAACTGGAACCACTGGCCACCCTACTTCTTACCCATTGTCCTCTCTGTTTTTTCTTCATTGTCACAGTCCATGACACAGAACCTAGATCAATCTGTTCATGTCAAGTTTGTAATGGAGTGGAACTCTGGGGGTAGGGGTACTTGCTTTTTCCAGTCATCTAAGAGGAGAGGAGAGGTAAGAACAGTAAGAAAAACAACTCAACTCAGGTCAGGAGGTGACTCGGTGGCAGAGTTTGCCTCACATGTGTAAGGCCACAGATTTAATCCCCTGCACCCTCCCTACTGCCTTGCCCCCTCAAAAAAAGAAAAAGAAAAAAGAAAGAAAAACCACTCAACACTTGTCTTTTCTCAGAACAGGGATGTCTTTTAAAATGTCCATGATATACTGAGCTCAATTACTCAGCAAACAGAAATGAACCTAATTCTTGGTGCCATAATCCATGTCTCATGAACAAAGACTCAGAAGGGCCAGACTGCCGCTCACAGAGCCAATGCTACTCCTTCCAGCTCAGCCATAGGAGTTCCAGGGAGGAGGAACCGACTGCAGTCAAGCAAGGGGTGGTGCTGGCAAGATTTCTGCTCCCTGCCCCCCAAGCTATCTGCTGGACCCCAGCTTTAGGAACAAAAGCTTTGTAAAAGACTTCTGGCTTCACTAAGACACATTAAAGAATTAATTATAAAGTAAAGCTGAAGGAGAAAATTAATTTTAGAAACACAAGAGGTTACTTTTTTTTTCCTAGAGATGGGGGAGGAAACAGTTATTTTCATTTTCATCCTGGGGGCACAAGCTGGGAGCTGTCCAGTCGATAACCTGGCCATCAGAACAAGGTTTGTAATTAAAAGGTCAGTGACCTGGAAAGCTAGGGCCCTACTCCCAGAGCTTCTCAGTAATGACGGAGCTATTAAATTAAGACTGTTATGAAATCAATGCTAAAAAAGCTTTCATGGTAACGAGATTCCATTCAAGGACATGCAAACTACCTCATGAAATGGACATAAATGATTAAAAAAAGAAAGAAAGAAAGAAAAGTAATAAAAGAGAGTTAAATTGAAATCAGTGTAAGATTTTACTCCTCAAAATACTCCAGTGAGAGAAGCTCTTCACCTCTACCCCATGACCAAGGTTGAGACCATCAGGTTTCTTCCTCAAGTTCATATCCAACAAGAAGGCAGTTTTGCTACGGGGGTTTGGCTTCCAGGAACACAAGAAACATAAGGTAAGATCTAGTTTCACCTTTTAGAGTAAAAAAGTATGGTGGTACATGTTTTTAGTTTTCCTCCTCCACCTCAGCGCTATTAGATGAAAGAGGAAAAAAAGCCCTTTACTTATACACTTCAAAAGGACACAATAAGTAAAAATGCCAGCCAATAGCACCCTGGCCCCACTATGCAGGATTATATTCATCTTTTTCTAGAAGCTTGGTTTGTGACACATATGTTTAGGTAGTTAACAGACAACTCCATCCCCTCCCCTACCTCTTCTTCCCTCTGGTCCCCCACAAACAGGCATCACTTTTGCCCAGCTTGTATTGAGCCTACTAAGCTGAATACTACTTGGAAGCAGATTATCTCTACATTTTGTGGTTGGAGAGAGTGTCAAATCAACATAAGCCTACTGACAACTTCCAAGCCTTTAACTTTCTGGGCTGACTCTACTGCTGTTTTTAAGTTACTTTGGCCTCCCGGACTGCAGCCTACTTAAGGCCTCAGATATGCTGCCTGCCTGGCAAGAAATGTTTCTATATATAGACTAGTTCTATGAGGGCTCAAGCCCCACACAGTACAATTATCGTCATCTGTGGCTGACTGCAGTGGACATGTCATCTGCAGAATTGAGTAGTTGGAAAGAAAACAGAAACATTCATTCTAATATTCCGAAGGTAAACAGCTGCTTTTCTCTTTCATCCAAAAAAAAAAAAAATTCCTGACAAAAGGAAGAAATGCTGTAAATCACACAAAATGGCAATAGAAACTTCAAAGAAAGTGATAAATGATTCTAATAACTTCATGTTTCTCATTAATGACTCCACATTCAGACCTTAAAGCATCCAAAAGAAATCTCAAAACAAAAAACCAAAAACCCAAACAAGACAGACTTTTGCAAACCAATCTTCTTCCATCCCTAGCCACTCACTCCCTACTCTCCCATCAGAGAGCTTAACCTGTCAGTAACAGGCAGTGTGCAGCCCCTGCTCAGGGCTGCGGTTTCACAATAAAACAAACTCAGCTGATATGCTTAAAGTAACCCTCATTTTCCACTGAACTGACATGTACTACAGGGACCTCAATTTCTATATTAAATATTAAATAATATTAAAAGAAAAAACAAAATTGGATTTGCCTTTTCAGGAAAGAGATGTTTATTAAAAAAAAAAAAAGAAAGTCAAGATTATAATTCAAGTCAGTGCTCCACTACAATTCCCTGAAGTGACATTTGCTAGGGAAAGCCAAGGCTACTATAGCTGAGAGTGTTTCCAAACCAAGCGCCCTAAACCTACCAGTACAATGACCCTGCAGGGAGAAGGGAGAGTGGATGCCAAAACCTCTGTCCCTCCTCGTCCCAGTGACCAGCAAGCCAACTCTCTCTCCTTCAGCAACTACTGTTAGGAACAGGGAAGATGCTCCTCCCTCATCCTCATCAGAGATGGGGCCAAGCCATGCTGATCATGTAAGCCTGACACAAGAACAGCGGAAATTAAAAAAGCGAAGTTTAAATCCACAAAGGGGCTTCTCTTCCCCAGACACCATTCAAACCTTGCAAGTCTCTGCCCAGAAAAGGTCCTGCCAGAACTTACCCTACTGGGATTCAACTCGGAAATGGATAATTACCAACTGAAGCAGCATTTTAGAGGATAATGGAGATGGGTGATTAGCTTTAGTGATTCCAGGCTTAAGTACAGGGTAAACTTTTGTGGTTCACTTTAGAGAAAGAAGGGTAGGATAGCCTCTCATAGTTCTGAACGTCCAAAATTCTTAAAACTGTAACCTAAATTAGGGGTGCATTATGCCAACAGATATTCATCTTCTTCATGCCCCTGTCCACATACCACCCTATCAGAGGCATCTGACATCTGACATCTGTTTAAAACTGAATCCATTCCATACCAGCCCTGGTGAGCTTCATCCACATGTTCCCTGCTTTATTTCTCCCTTGGTCCTTGCCACCTGACATACCATGTACTTCACCTTTCCACATACTTCACTTTTCCACGTGTTCACTGCCTGACTCCCCTCATTGGAACTAAAGCTCTGTGAGGTCAGGATTTTGTCTGTTCTGTTCTCAGCAAATCCCCCAGGGGGAGAACAGGGTATAGCACAAGGAGGATACTTATTCTTGGGTGAACTGATTAATCAGTTGAGCCTTTTCTTAATAAAAAAAGGCAAAAATATAGTAACTGCACAAAACAGTTTCCTCTCAAAAGAAGTATTACTTGGTCCATGTGTGTGTGTGTGTGTGTCTCTCCTCTTTCTCTCTCTCCCCTACTCAGGGATTTATTAAAATTAAACAGATTAGATAGAGCTCCTGATACTAAAACTGCTCAGCAAAGCCTGCGGTAGGGAAGTGCCGAGCAAACACCAGAGACATTTGTCTCTAAATTGCTCTAAATACCTTCTGCAAATGAAATTCTAACCCAGCTGCGTTTGAGAGAAAATGAGGACTAACTGGTCATTGTCGGTGGAAGAGAAGATCAGACAGTTATAATATTGCACAATATACTGGGCTAAGGATCTCTCGGCAACCATAGATTTTGTCTCAGGTTACCCCGGGTAATCAGCTCAGCTTTTAGGCTCAGCTTTCCCCAGCTTCAATACTTTGATGAGAGAGCTGAAATCCCCAAGCTTTTATGATTAATTACTCCCCATAGGTACACATATTTCAAGGAAAAACTCTTTTATGGCATGGTGCTTGCAGAGTGGAGAGGCCAGCCAACACACTCCAAATTTTAATAGTCTTCTAATGATGGGGTGTGCATGATGCAGCCAGCAGGCACGCAGCGCCCCTCACCAACTCTGACGTGGGAGCCTGGTCTTGGGGTAGCGAAGCAGCTGCCTGTGAATGAAATGTTTGGGCTTACTGTGCCCAAACACTGTGAGTGTGACCCTGGGAATGACTGGGCGAGAGACCAGAAAATGGTCCTGCAGCACCACTTCCATGGGATATCACAAAGCAGCCCTAGGAAATGCCACCAAAACATTCTATTGTCTACTTTAGCCAAAACTGACTGAGACACCAGAATTCTGAGGCCAACATTCCAGCTTTTAAAGAAAAAAAAAAAGAGCTGTGCTTTTGGGAGAAGGAGACACTTTTCTCCCTTCATGTTACATAAAAGCCTTTAAACACATTCCTAGATTTCTAGAAAATTAAATGCTCAAAAAATAAAAGGTCCAGTTTCTTTTTTGGTTTAACTGGTTGTTTTCATTTCAAAAAAGAAGAAAAACATCCTAAATTCCAACAGAACCAGAATATATTCTGTCTGCTTCAGAAAATACTGAATTTGTCAGGATCCACTTTATCCTTGCTTACAGAAATACCATAAAGCCAATAATTTACCACTTCTATCCCTAAATCAGACTTACCCCACGCTTGACCTAACCTGACCTTGTTTATTTATCTCATTTCCCTTGCCTTTCACTCCTTTCTTCCTCATTCTTTACTGAAGCAGCCAGTCTCCTCACCTAAAGCAGGTCATTCTGCAGCCAGGGTCAGTGACAGAACAGATGAGAAAGCAGAAGTCCTCCACAGTCCTATTCAATGGGCCACTTTTGCTACTGAACACTGCCTTTGCCATGATGCCCTTCACCTTATATGTAGAGCTTAATTAGCCCAACTGTGTAATCCTTTGGCTCCATTGTTAGGAAAGCAACCTGCATTCCCCTCGAGGAATCACCTCAGTCCCGTTTCCCATACCTACAAAAGTGGACAGCCTATAGGGGATCCTTGACATACTGAGAACCTGCCTCCTGCACTATGATTTCACAGGCTACTCTGCACTGGCCGTAGGATAGGAACCCGTACCTTTCTTCTTAAGAAACGCTCTCCTGGTTGCAAGTGGGCTCTGGCGGACCCGGGAATTCTGTAGAAACTTCACTGCTGTGGCAATCTGGTGAAGGACATAGAACAGAGAAGAGTAAACTTCAATAATCAGAATTTCAAGATGAAAAATTCTACAAATTCCCAGGACCACAGACACAAGTACACTGTTGCAATCAGATGTCTAACTACCTATTTCTTAAATTCAAAGAGTAGGTCATTTTCCCTGTTTTCACTAGGAAGACAGAAGGCAATATAATCTGAGTCAATCAAATGTAATCTTCTCAGCCTAGTTTTGCAGATCTGCAATGAACCTTTCCTGTCTCCCCTGTGTGAGCTGCCTCTGTGTGTGTGTGTGTGTGTGTGTGTGTGTGTGTGTGAGTATGTGTGAGTGTGTGAGATGTGTGATATGTTGGGGTCAAACCCAGGGCCTTATACATCCTAGGCAAGTGCTCACCACTAAGCTACATCCCCAGTCCTTGGTTTTTCAGAACACAGTCTCACTATGTAGTCCAGGCTGGCCTCAAACTTGAGATCCTCCAGGTTCTGCGCCTGGTGCCCAAGCTGCTTCTTCAGCCATGCTCATCCAGTTACTACCCTTGTAAACATCCTCCTTTTGGAAGGCCTCCCTTTCCTGCCTCTTACCTATCTACACATCACACACACACACACACACACACACACACACAGAAGCACAGCCCTTTTATAGCCTGTTCTGACTCCTTGGAGTCTTCCCTAAATAAGTAAACCATCTCTGATCTCTTTATTCTCTTAAATTCTTCAATGCTGTAGTGTGTACCATATAATTGAAGATATAATTATACCGTCTTCTCATGTTCGGGCTGCTTCCCTACTATACTTCAAGCAACCAAGGGGAAGAGAATATGCTCCCTATACGGTAGAGACTGAGCACATACGAACTGAGGGGGATTGTATAAGAGATGATACTGCTGTGTGAACAGCAGTCAGTCACACTGGTCCTTCCTATGCAGTGGAGATGAATTCTGAAGAGCCTTCAGAGGCCAAAGTTTGGGGTTCCCTGGCTAAAAGCTGACAGATTGACAGATCATCTACCTACCTCTGGTAATAAATATTATTTAATGAAATTTTTGTATCTACCAATCAGCTGAGTAGAGGATGGAAGGGAAACTGCTGAAGGCATTAACCTCCACATCACTTAGCACACACAAAGCATGTGTTTACACGTTGCCTGTCTGCTCTCCAGAGCAGACACTGGTCCTAGGAGTGGGAAGCAACAACTTGACCCAGGTAGAAAAGAGGTCGTCCTGAATGGCTGGCAGTATTCACTTCAACAAAACCAAAAGAATAACATGGCCTCTTGTTACAGGGTAGGCCAACAGGCCCTGTAGTTCACTTGTAAGTTGTTAAAAGAAAGCATTTCCCAGGGGCCAGACACAAGCAAGCTTTCTATGGTCCTTAAACTAAGAGCCATAGTTATACCAAGATTCAAACAAAGTGCTGTAACTATAAGTGAAACTGAAGTTACAAATTTTGTATAAATTAATCCTGACATCAGACAAGAGTCCAAGGGAACAAAAGATATAACTCAAATCAGAAAGAAAAATCAAGCCAGGGAAATGCTCGTATCCTTCTATAACTCTAGACTTACCCTAGCCTTCTCCCTAAAGGGTAAACTCAATGTCCTGAACTTCCAGATCTGGGCCCATCACCCATTAAGACACACTGGTGTTTCTTAAGAGCCAAGCCCAACCCCTGTGGGTTATGATCTGTCCCCAGCACTGCAAACAGCACTGACCACCATCAGTGACTACAGTAATAACCAACCAGTTCTGGACTTAAAAAAAAAAAAGGCAATGCAGGAGCTTCTAGAACTCCAGAACTGCATACTAATCCCTTAGCCCCTCAACTAGATTGCCTCAGGTTACACGGAAATCAAGAAAAATCTAACAAACATCTACAATACTGATGTGCTTTAATGAAGTGAGGTAAGAGGAAGGAAAGAAATAACAACTAAAAAAAAGGACTGGTGGTTCATGTCTATACTCCTAGCTTCTTGGGAGACAGAAATCAGAATGATTGCAATTTGAAGTCAGCCCAGACAAATAGCTCAAGAAACCCTATTTCAAAAATACCCAAACCTAAAAAGGGCTGGTGGAGTGGCTCAAGTGATAAAGCATCTATCTAATAAGTGTGAGGCCCAGAATTCAAACCCCAGCACCGAAAAAGCGAGACAGAGGAAAAGGGAGATTGGGTGAAGTGGTACATATCTATAATCCCAGCTATTCCAGAGACTGAATCAGGCAGGGGAATCTCAAGTTCCAGAGCAGCCTGGGCAGAAAGGTAGAGTCTGTCTCAAAAATAAAAAATAAAAACAAAGGGCTGAAGGAATAGCTTGCACAGCAGAGCACTTGCTTAGCATGTGCAAGGCCCTGGGTTCAATCCCCAGTACCAAAAAAGAAAGACAGGGAAAGGAGGGAGGGAGGGAGGAAGGGAGGAAGGGAGGAAGGAAGGAAGGAAGGGTAAATAGAGGAGGGAAAGAAAAGGGAGAAAGCAGCAGTAGGAAAAGAGGAGATAAAACAGAAGTGGTGGGGAGGAAAGAAAGGGGAAGAATGGAGGAAATAAAAAGAGATTTGTGCTCTGTAAAGTGAAGGACAGGTACACATCACAGGCCCCATGGGGTCAACACCAATCTGCACCACTCTGATGGCTCAGGGATAATTGTTCTTCACCTGGAGGAAAAATACACCTTCAACACACAGGAAAATGATGGTATCTGTATCATGCAGCAGTCTCTGCGGCTGTGATATGTGTACCAGGTGTCAGAGGAAATGTGGATGAACGAGACTTGGGCAGGAGATGTGAACAGCACAGTTTCTATCACTCACCCAGAGGGAACAGAAACCTTCCCTGCATCCTTCCAAAATTTCCCATGACAGAAAGAAAACACAATCCCACCACTAAAATGCCCAGGTTTCACCTTGCTTTTTTAATATAGTCCTTGGTATATGCATTTCTGGTCAGAGAGCAAAGTTCTGATGGGTTTAATGGTGCACTCAATGCAGTGCTTGGCGCATTCCATCAATTTTTTTTTTTAAAAATTGCATCTCTTATTTCTTTAAATACATTAATCAGCCTAGTGTAGGCAAAACGGATCCATCGGACAATGCAATAAACATGAATTATCATCTATCCAACACGCATAATGGCTTAAAAATACATAATAGCAGGTGTAGTTTAAATGATTAGTTATTACACCTGTGGTGGGTCTGATTCAATTGGGAAAAATCATCTTTAATAGGTTAAAAGGTTTAGATCACCATGCTTTCTTTAAAGTGGCTGCAGAGAGGGAATGATGGAGTGCTCTGTCATTAGTAATTCATTTAAGAAAAACGTGGGGGATATAGCAAAGAACAGCATAAACGAGTGAATCCAATTTAAACATCAGGTAAAGTAGAAAACACCTTTTAAAAAAGCAAGACAAATGAATTTGGAAGGGAGATGAAATTGACATATTTATTTTAACGGGAATTTGACAAAGTCCCGGCACACTTCAAACTTGCAAAAATATGAACAATTTCTTTTAAAGTTTCCATTCACTAATTTCAAGTCATATAAAATAATACTGCTGAACACCTACATAAAGTGTGTTTGGGGCTTGTTTATGTTCCTCTTGATCTCTGTCTGAAAATGTAGGTGACAGGCAAATCGCATATTTAACAGCACTGATATCACTACCACAGATGCAAAAATATAAAGCACCCAAACTAATAGCCCCAACATAATGTGCTAAAAAAAAAAAAAAAGACACCCAGATAAGCAGCTACATGTAAGTGTAAACACAGGAAAATCTCTCTCCTCCTTTCACTAATTACCTTCAGCTACTCTTCACTCTGCTCCTCCTTTCCTACAAGACACTGGCACTACAACTGGCGGGGGGGGGGGGGGGGATGAGTCCAATCAAGAATTTTATAGCCCTGTGATTCATACGTCAATTGTAAAAGATTTCCCAAAACTCCGTACCCATAATGCAAAGATCTTTACCCACTGAATAACTGATAGGGTGCTCCATTTGGACCTTTCATCTGCCTATTGTCGGACACTTTTCATTAACTTCATGAAGCAATTCAAGTGACTTTCCTCTGAGGAAGTCCAACATACACAACCCGCTTTTGTTGAATCAATGATGGGTGCCTGCAGCCTGTCCTGTGTTATCGTTTGATTTTCTAATTAGAAGATGAATGTGACTATTCATGGGTTATATTTGTGCCGAACTAAATTACATAAATTCAGGCCAAATCTTCCGCCTCAATGTCAAAGATGTAAAACGGAGACAGGAACTTTACTGCGTGTACTGTGGGAGTGCAGCAAGCCAGGGAGAAATCTGTCGCTCAGTCACTTGCTGTGGGGCCCACAATAAATACGGAATTGGCTTCTCCTTTCCCCACTCTTGCACTGACTGAGTTCTAAATGAATGCACCATGAATTACCAGTAGCCAGTTTAATAAAAATAAAGATGAACTCAGAAAAAAACCCAGAAGTTTCTCATTACTCCCAATCCTCCAGGACCTATCAGCTATCTTCCTCCTCCCCGCCAAAGCAAAGCAGAACAACCCTGCCACCACCAATGACACAATTTTAGGAAACTTTGGTAATTTTCACTGTTTATCACTTTAAAGCTGGAGGAAAAACTGAGGTACCAAGGAGAAGAGTAAATTTTTGTCTTTGCTAGAGTCCCTCACAGCAACTCAGAAAAAAAGGAGGAGGAGGTTGGGGGGAGACTTCAGATTGAAAAACACCTTTGGGTCCAAGACAATTGGTCAACTGAAAGAGGCTTGTGTTTGAGACCAGGATTTGTTAGCACATAAATCAATGGAGTATACTAAGTATACTTGGGTTACCTGCTACGAACTATTCGCTGTTAAATGCATTGTATAAGTAATCCCTGATGGAAGAGTCCAGGTTCCTGACAGTCTTCACTGAAGAGGCACTTCCTATGTGTTTCCCATTCTCCTACAAAAGACCTGCACGTTGTAATCTTCAGAGCACACACTTTATTTTCTGCTTGAGGGGGACAGGAAAACAGAGCCT